GAGTGAGGACCACTCTGCTCTAACTGTGTCACCGATGGTCGGCCAGACAGGAGCTCCATCGCTGAATTATTCAACCAGGTTAACCCACATTCAGACACAAGTCTGGGGAGAGAAAACAATAAACTGGGCAGATCAAGGCCAGTTTGACCCCAATTTGTCCGCCATTTCACTACACTGTCCAATTCACTGCATTTTACTCCACATGAAGACTAACGATCTGAATGAATGAATGAATGAATGAATGAATGAATGCCCTTTATTGTCATTATACAGTATATAGCGAGATTGGTGACAAACAAGAAAACAATATAAAACCAAGCACTGAAACGGAGAGCCGTGAGCCGCTGCATCTAAGCGCACCGCCATGTTGCTCATCTGGAAGGAAATGTGGTAAAATCATTTGTCGTAAGTTGTAACGACTGATTTAGAGCTTCAGGGACAAAATAACGCAGGATTGGAAAACGACTTGAAAACATAGAAACATGATGCTTCTGTTAAAAACAAACCTCTCGCTCATTTTGTGAGAACAGTATGGATGTTGCTCTTTTTCCCTGATTGCAGCAGCTTCACACTTTGCTGTTTGTTATTTTTTGCTGCATATTTAAACATGAGAACAGGACATACAGTGTTAACAAATGTATTAGACCACCTGTCTAACTCGTTACCATCCAGCATCATGAAGTGCTTTAATTCACACTCAGCGTTGACGCTTGACCATTTTGAGCAGGAATGAGGAATTTCAAACAGAATTCACCTTTTTATACCCAAATTTGAGCCACTGGGCTCCTCTGAGGAGTCAGAAATAAATCAAGCATAACATTCAACCACTAAAACTATATTTCTTGTTCAAGAATGCAAGTAAATAACTATATTTTGAAATGTTAATCAAGAAATAATAACATGCTTTACTATTTTTTTTCAGTTTTTTGTAAAACAGTAAATTTGATCATCCATTTATTACAATAATAATTATATTCAAGCAGTAAAAATATTATTTTGGTTAAAGAGCTTCTACATACTGATGTGTTAACCATTACAGAGACATAAAAAAATGCTTTTGTAGTTACCGATGCTGTTAATTTTGGGCCACTGTGGCATAAACCTTACACTGGGTGTTCTAATAAGTTTGTTAAGCAATGTATATATATATATTACGAAATTGATGTCTTGTCCTGCATCTGCTTTTTTTTGTATCAAAACAATCCTATGAAATAGCTGTAACTGAAATGCAATTCACTGCAACTAATTCAAACACAATAAATACACTTCTTTGTGGTTTCATACATGTAGCGCTGCATACCTTTTTGTTTGTCACCATGTTAATGCCTTTGATGCAATGGCCTTTTACAAGCTTCTGACAGGCGTCCTGAGGACGACCGTGGCTAAACGTATACAATAGGTGCTCTGACAAGATGGTTCACACGTCCTCTGCTTTATTTGTTGAACCCTCCGGTCTGTTATCGTTGTAAAGCCAGGCAGCGCTCTTTGCAAAGTCAGCAAACAGCATTGCAAGAATGCAAAATACTTCCACACACTGCTCCTCCGATCAGTCAGCGTCAATGAGAATTGAAGTTTGCTCTCCAACATCCAACTGATCAATAGGTCAATGGCTGGCCCAGTAATTTAAGTTAGAGTATAGTTTCCATCCCATATTAAGAAAAAGATAATTTCTAGCACAGTCATTCAAACCACAGAACTGACGCTGTACACAAACTGACACAGATGGCGCCTGAGAACTCATCAGGTTGTTGTTATGAGACAGTCTGTATTTCAGGGCTGCACGGTGTTTTTATGCAGCCACATCTTCCTTATCAGTGTTGCTCTTCCTCTGAACACCAAACAGTTGCTGATTGCTTTTTGCTCTTGTCAGATTTTTACTCACTGTGAGCTCATTTTCTCTGCGTTATGAAGTCCTGCACCTCTATGGAAACGGCACAACCATGACTGGAAGGAGAGAGAACTCACACATGTCTTCTGTGGAGCATGACGGATTTAATTGAGTTTCTTTGATTACTTATTTTACAAAAGTAAGACGCATGTGCAACATTTTTCCAAGTGCCCACCGGTGTTTCCCATACTGAGAAAAAGGTAACTCTATATGCTATCAGTATTTTACTATTTATATTTTTACAGCCTCTACAAACTATGTGTTGTCATCAGTCTGCACATCAGCTCTACAGAGGGAGGTGAGATGTTTCACCGTGCTGAATGCATCTCCAACAACTTGCTCCTCTGTGTATTATTTCTGAGCCATGCTGTGTTTATTTCTTCAATCAATTATGTTTTATATTCCTCTAAGTCTGTCTTCTCGTCTCCTCTCTGCTCTGTGGAAACACTGCCTGCAGTTCATTTGAAAACGCTGAAGTTTTGTCGTGTGACTGTTGGTCACAACCGAGTCAGTCATGTCTTCTCAGTTGTGTTGAGCAGTGAAGAATTCTATTGTTCTTTACATCATGCAGTTGATTTCTGGGGATTTTTTTGTAGGTTGCATGAAACATGTAGGATTAAGTGAAATATAACAGTTTAAATATTTTATTTGGCGTCACACATGATAAATAATGGCTTCTCATTTGAGCTTGAGAGTGAAGAATGTTTTTTTTACTAAATCCAATTAGTGCAAACGATTTATTGTTGTTGAGTTTTTGAATAAGACATGTAAGATAAAGTGGTTTAAATGAAATATCCTAATTTTAACCTTATATTTGGCTAATTTTCCTGATAGAACTGTACGTCACACTTGATTCCTTCATGGATTTTCTGAAAGCTAAAAGTCTGACAAATTCTTCTGTTTTTACACTTTGTGGCTCAGATAAATGTGTCATTTTAATGATTTTTTTAGACTAACACATGCCTTTGAAAGCTGCTGGCAGGGTTAAACCAACAAAGGACCCATCTCTGTCTTTATGACACCATGCTGTTGTACTTAGTGTCTGAGGATCCTCACCGTTCTTTGTTCCTCTTTGTTCCTGCTTCGAGAATCGCAGACTTTCACTGCATAATCCGTCCTATTCCAGATGGTTTGCGTGTGCTGTAGCGTGTCCAGATTACCACTGCGGTCCTGTCATTGGCGTAGATCCGTGCAGAGGATCCAGATTAAGCAGCATTAATCCCCTCGCCGCTTTGTTTGGGGATGATTTGGCAGAAAGCCTCCGGCTCCAGCTGGGATTGTGCTCATTGTTTTCAAAGACACACAAGTGGCTCAGATATCATATCATATCCGCCATGTCATACAATGCCAGGCCATACTGGTAATTGTGCTGCATTGTGTTTCATATATTGTTGCCCTGTAGCTGGTGGGAGGCTACTGGAGGCTACTCAGTGCTGGAGCTGCATGTATTAGTCAGTCAGCCAACTGGTTTGATAATCAGTTAATTGGTTTAGGTGAGAAAAAACATCTAAATACGCTGATTTCACCTTCTTAAATGTGATTTTTTTTTCAGGTTTCTTCCCCCTCTGTGGCAGAAAACTGAATATATTTGGGTTGTGAACAAAATAAAACGTTTGAGGACGTCATCTTGAGCTTTTGGGAAACACTGATTGACAGTTATCCCCAAAAAGCTTTGACTCTGTTAAATTAAATAAATAAGATAATAATAATAGAATATAAAACAGTTCTAGAAGAAAATAACAGGATCTTTCTGTCAACAATGTCTCTCAGGTCATTTATGACTCAGGAGCAGTATCGAAGTTTTGCACATCCAGCAATCAAGTTAACGAAAGTAATGATACAAAATAAAGTCTGGGTCCGACATGCTGCGTAATACTTACCTCAAAGTGCATCCTTTGTGATTTGCTAATTGCATCATTTATATTTGAAAATCAATTGCAATCCATGTTTGGCCCTATTTGCCAGGTGCTCACACAAAGGCAATTGTTGGATTTCTGGGGTTTTTATCAACAATAATGTGCAGTCTTAACCCTAATATTAAAATTGATGGGGCAAATTTATCACTTTTGTCTATTTCTTTGGTAGAAAGCACTTTGGGTCAGCGTCTGTTGTTTTAAATGTGACATATAAATAATTGTGATGTGACTTTGTCAGGAGACAAAGCAGAAAAATCTGATTGTATAGACATTGTGATACGAGTCACAATTTTACCAGGGGTGGTCATTTTTGCATTTCTTTTCCACTTAAAAAATAAAAAAGATGAAGTGACTTTTGCTGCAGCCTAACCTAAACAAGTATGTTACCTTAAAGGTGATTTAAAATGGCAGGTTGTGGTGTATTAGAACTTTATTTTTAAGTATCCAATTTGCAGAAGGTGTATTTTGGATACTGCACTTGTCCGTGTTGTGATTTTGATGATATTTTGATTAATTGTTCAGCCGCATGAACAACTAATAATCGAAACATGAGTTAAAATAATAATTAATTGCAGCTCCACTCATCACAAAGCTGGTCAACATCTCTGAGAGAGTCTTCAGAGGTCTCCACAGCAGCGACAGAAGTCATCAATATTCCAGTAGCCTGCTGTTGTTGTGAGGCAGATGTCATGTAGGAGGCTGTGGGTGGTGGGTTCAGGTACAGTCATAAAGCTCTGTTGTCCAGCTGTCTCATGCTTCCCACCTCTGCCTGTCTGGTGATCAAACCTGCAGAACGCTGTTTTCCCACAACCTAAATCCAAACTCCTAAATCAATGACAGGGTCTCAGGTTTTATTGGTGTTGCTTCACTACAATCTGTTTTCCTGACAGAGCTTTTGTTTTAGCAGAACTGAGGCTTAATCAGCTCCAACAGATTCTTTCTAATGCATTTTACACAAGTTTAAATTCAACACGCACATGCTAGCACACAACCAACTTTGCTTTTTTTTTCTCTCTCTGCGATGAAGTCATTTCAAACTAAAGTGTGCTTCAGCGTTACCAGCTCGTCCTGCTGGTTTGAAGGCAACAGTCGCCCACATCCATCAGCTGTGCTCTTTTTTTATCTGAGTCATCTTCACTTGTTGTTGTTGTTTTCCAGCTCTTACAAATCTTGCTTTCCTTTTTTTCCCCCTGCAGATATTGACATGAAGAAAGACATTGAGACTCTAATAGCAGAGGAACGGGCTGATATCATCTTGAAATATGCTACGGTGAGTTTGTGCTTCCAACACACACAGCAGAGTCAAGATCATGTTTTCTTACAGTCCTGCTGCTGCAAAAAAGGAGCCTATTGCTATTTTTAACCAGATCAAAAGTAAAAATATGAACATTTGTTTTTAATTTGTGCTCCAGACACACATTGTTGTGTAGCAGCTTCCAGATGCTGTGAGCGTGTCTCCAATACCTCTTGTGTTGTTCTTGTGTAGGAGGACGAGTTCACACGCACTCGAGCTTGTGGTTAAAAGAACCACAGAGGAGGACGTGAATTCGAACGTGCGTTTTGTGTGTTTCTGCATGTGTGGAGGACAATAAGTGTGCGTGGGCGGATGTGAGCGTTCTGCCAAAGTGCATTAATAACACGTTGTGTAATAATATGCTTGTGGCCGTGGTTTGAGGTGATCGGAGAAACGATGACCGCAGATGTTAAATGTGACTGAAACTAACATCAAAAACAGGCACAAAAAAACATGCAAGTAAACTAACAAGCCAGTGACTGAAACTAAATGGAGATGATGAAGCCATTTGTGTTCAGTTTAGTGTTGAGCCAGCAAGTGTGGAATGAACCCAGAAGTAGTTCAGCCCCGTAGGAATTCAAAACACCTTCCTGTTTTCAGATATTAACCCACTGATCAGCTTTAATGCTTGACTGCATGTTAAAATGCTAAAGTTTTGTCTGAGTTGGAGTGATGGGATGTGAGGATTTGGGTGGTCAAAGAGCAGGTGAGGCCTCAGTTCTGTTATCACTGCAGAGTAAAGGGCTAGTTCATGGATTCATGGCTGATGAGTGCATTTAATTACATCATTACACGGGCCTAAAACTTGAGAGTGCACCGACTGTCAAGCGAGCTGACTGCACTTGTGCAACAAAGGTGAACTAGATGCTAGTTTTGGGCTCCATCTGTATTTTATTAGGCTTGTAGTGTATTCAACTAAGGCTGAAAGACCTCTCCTGCATGTTGTCTCTAGAGTAAACTATTCAGCCACAGCACACGCTAACGCTGGCCTTATTAAATGAATTCTGAATCAACATAAAAATCTATTTGCAGCATATTATATTGGTTATTTTACACTGAAGTGATAAGATCTGACTCTTGCACCCGTGCATATTCATATGATTTCTGTAAATAGAACCATATCAACTGATGATCGAAGCACAAGAACATAACACAAACAAGTTAGCTGCTGGTTTTAGAGGATCTGTCATTTTCATTGTTGAGCTGTGATATACAAACTGCTGTTTGCAAAGTTTATATTCGACTTTTTGTCCATATCTTTGAACAAAACGCAGGCACGTCAACTCCTTCTTTGACATGATGTTGGTTAGTTTGGGAGTAAACGTTCGATAAACGTTAAATCAGTTAAACCCAGTAGTATCTATCAGGTGTAGTAAAGTTGTTCAAACACAGTCAGTTCCTCCTGCTGCCAATAATAATGGATTAATCCTAGAAGGCTGTCGAATTGGAACCTTTCTCCTTCTGAAAGCAGCACCTGCAGGTGTCTGACCGATGAGAATTTGATCAGATGAGATCACATCGGCCAACCAATCAACCCGGACAGCACAGCTGTACATTTCATGTTAAGCAGTTTTTAGTCTTTTCTATGTTATCCGGGCAAATAAAACAAACACAGCAGCTGATCTTGCTGTGGAGAGGTTGCATCATGTTTTTCAGTGTGTATATGAGGAACCTATCTGCATATGTGTAACCTACATAGTGGCATGGACAGAAAGTCTTCTGTGAGGTTGTGTTTGCAGCTGTCAGTCATGGATGGAAAACAAGAGGGGCTTTTCATTATGCTAACTTAAACCTTGATCTGTGGACACCTCACACGTGTAGTTGTTGTTGTTATTCTAGTTTTTAGTTGCTTGGAGGACTCTGTTCCATTCGACACAACATGTGGACGTCTGCAGCAGGTCGACATGGACTTTCACGGATCCGCACAGAACGAACATTAGACAAACCTGAGTAACCCAAGAGTACTCGTATACGTCCTCAATCATCAACCTTTATCTAAACTGAGGCATGAAGGCCTCATTTACAGTGTAGCCAAGTAAGAGCATCTGCAAAGGCACAGTCAATGAAAACATGAATTAAAGGATTTAAGTTTTAAAAACAAATGAATCAACTAAAACAAGAGAAGCTGGAAGTGAAACAGGATGAAATGAAAAACCTGAATTGTCCAAAGGGTAAAAACGAGTCGAGATTTGGATGTAGAAGGTAAAACACTGGCCTTGTTCTTCCTCACGTCTTCTTTCCCCTGTGAATTCCTTAAATGCTCCTTCAGGAAACAAGGGTTCAGAAGAAGCTTACAGTAAAGAAACACCGACACATATCCAGTGCAGAAGTTTTTTGTCATGTGGCGTGACATCTAACTGCTGCACCTTCATGGCTGTAGGTTTGATCTGACAGGTGATGTGACTGTGCAGCACGTCACCAGTGACTGGCGTCGCTTAAGATTGATGCTGTGGAGCAAATGATTTCTCATTTGGCAGCTTCAGCTTTGCGTCTCGTTCTACCGTTTCTTTCTCGCGTCTTTGCCGGGAAGACGTAAGGAAGAAATGTGATTGAGAGAATTGAGGAGACACATTAGTGTCGTAAAAAGCACCGCGATGAGCCTGAAGGCAGCGTCCTTTACAAATGTATCTCTTACTTTTCACGGTGAGGATGCCAAAATGCTCCCACATGCCGCTTCTCGGATGCTTCGGTGTTGTGATTATTCAGTTTTGCTTTGCTTTCTAGTGTCTTCTGCCATTTTTAACGATTAGCTTCATTGGGCAGCAAGACGTTAAGCTGATGTGTGAATTTTAAAGATGCCGTCTGCTTGACGACATGTAAAATACTTCAAACTGTCTGACGCGCTTATCAGCTGTAAATGTTGAATTTGAGCAAGTCTTTACAGTTGGAATATTTTCCCTAATGTTTGAATTGAAAGTGACATTTGTGTACAAACTGGAGGTCACGTTCTGATGAAACCAGCAGAATCACAACTCTGAGACTGTTGTATTAGACGCTCTGCTCACTCCAGTGGCTCCGTGACACATTATAAACAACAATGTGGGCACAAACCGCCTTGAGATCCACAATGTACTCATGAAGACTGGCAGGGTAAACTAAAAAAATGGCAAAAATGGATGACTGTCAGCACAAAATATACAAGCCAAACCGCTTCATTTCCGGTGTTTTTGTGCAGATATTTAAGATGATTCGATCGCTGTCATCTTTAATAATCTAAACCCTACTTAGTTTCTGGGTGTTTTTTCTTTACTCTTGTTATATTTTCAGTCACTGTGGGCTCATTTTTCTCTGCAATATAAAGTCCTGCTCCTCTGTGGAAACAGAACAACCATGAATAGAAGGAGATACAACTCAAACATGTCTTCTGTGCAGTACGAAACAGTCATCCATCCATCCATCATCTATGCACCACTTACTCCTCACTAGGGTCGTGGGGGGCTGGAACCTATCCCAGCTGACTTAGGGTGAAGGCAGGGGACACCCTGGACAGGTCACCAGTCTATCACAGGGCTACACTTAGAGACAGACAACCAAGCACACTCACTTTCACAGCTATGGACAATTTAGAATCACTAATTAACCTCAACATGTTTTTGGACTGTGTGGGAGGAAGCCGGAAAACACGGAGAGAACCCACGATGCACGGGGAGAACATGCAAACTCCACACAGAAAGATCCCGGGTGTCCTCACCGGGATGTGAACCAGCGACCTTCTTGCTGCGAGGCAACAGTGCTACCAACTGCACCACTTTGCACCTTCATCACAGCCAAAATCATAAAAAAGACAAAACCAAAAGTGCCCACAGGTGTTAAAAGGAAAAATAGTGACTCCACCTGCTAAACATATTTTACTATTTGAGTTTTTAGAACCCTGAAAATCTTGCCATTTTTCAAACTACTCTGCAGATAAACACAGTATTTTGGGATTTCATCATGCTGAATGTATCGTGCGAGAACTTTCAGAACAAAATTTCTAATCAAAGCTGTTGCATTTAAGGTTTTCTTGTCCAGATTTTTTTTAATGAAATGAAAAGATTCAAGCTTCAAGAGTTTTTTTTGTAACATGCTCACACAGTATGGGTGGCGCAATGCAAAGTGACTGTTCAACAAGACTGTGCAATACCAAGACATGATAAAAGCATTCCTTAAAAATAGAAAAACTTATAAATAATGAGGAGCAGGGAGTGCTTGCATGCATGCATTCATATGTATGTGAAATGTGGATGCAACATCATCTTATTGTGCCACACAGAGACAAATATTTTAATCAGTTTCAAATAAAAGCCACACTGAGTGCCATCTTCGTCTTTGCTCGGAGCAACAAGCAGCTTCACTACAAGCCGGTGTGAGAGCAGTGAATGTGCTGATGCAGAGCTGAGCCGGTGGCAGCCAGAGGTTAAATTTAGCTCAGCAGCTCGGAGCAGAGGGGTGACGGGGTGGCGTTGGAGGGGTTTGCTCTGTCTAGCCATAGCAACAACCATGACACGCTGTGCAGCAATTGACTTGACACCGACCTCCGGGGACTGGCTGAGCTCCCGGTCATCGTGACTTCTGTGTATGGATGCTGGTTTCCGGCCACATGTACAGCACAGTGCAGAGCAGGGAGGCTGGGCTGGAAAGAGATTGATCCCTCACCACAGCTGTTTATTCCCAGGAGGACTGTGGGTGAAAAAAAGCCTGTCACGGACACATGCAGGTTCATGTCTTTTATGCAGGTTTCAGACGGACTTTACCCGTCTTCTTCTGAAACGTACTACTTATTAAACACTCAGACTGATCAAATCTAGTAGCTACATGTGCATTCTTCTTAAATCTCAACTTCTTGATCTGGCAGCTTTCATTGTACATTTTGTGGGCAGCTCTGGTCAAAGTTCTCCAATTTTGTTTTTTACAGAAAATAAAGAAAATGGATGTGAATGTTGACTTTTTTGGTAAAATAATACCGTTTTCTTGCTGCCTCCCAGTTCCAAGGTTATATCCCTTATTATCTGCATTTCAGAGGCTAATATATCATGACAGTTGCAAGGGGCCATCCGTTTCCAAATGCTTAGAGAAATACTGCTTTCTTTGGTGCTAATCTGCAAAATACAGCTGGTGGAGTTCCCTTAAAAATCTCTTGCAGGCAACATGGTTGTTTAATGAAGCATTCTGGCGATCACCATTAAGTCGTACAGTTTAAAATATCTTCTCAGCATCTGAGGATGTTCACTGCATCAGTCGCCCTCTGAACACCAAACTGTTGCAAGGCAGTTTTTTTGATCCTCTCACATTTTTACTGACTCTAGGCTCATTTTTCACTGCAATATACAGTCCTGCACCTCATATGGAAACAGAACAACCAGGACTAGTAGTGGAGAGACCTCAGACATGTCCAGTATGCCACAGTCATAAAACCCTAAATCATTTGAAAAAAACTTGAAACTTGAATTTCTTTATTGATTTCACAAAAATTGAAAGAAACC